AGTTATTGGGTAATCTTGATTAGAATTTCTGACACTGTATATCATACATTTATCTATGAACAAGAACAAAAATGCTGACTTCAGGGTGCTTCTACTAAAGCAAAACTAAAAAAGCAGTGTAGACACGACTTGGCTGATAAACGACATTTGGGGTACAGTGTAAAAGTGGACAAATTTGATTTTTAACTACTACTTTAACCCTCTGGGGTTGACAAACGCACTGGCTTGACAATTTAGATGTTTCTCAGTGTTTCTATTAATATCTTCGTGACTCACATCCAGAGTTATGGGGCTATGAAGAGGTGCTATGATGCACGTCATCTCACCATGTGGAACTGGTGGATTTGGGTGTCTGTCTATATTTGGCATAAAAGTGACCAATGGACACTCAGGAAATGACTAAGGACTGACCCATCATGCCAGAAGCCCTTCATTTTTCATTCAGTTGCCTCGGACAAAGACGTGCATTGGTGTGTAAAAAGTTTACAGCTGCTAAAGATGGTGCAGCAGTTTTGGAAAATAGTGATGAGGAGAACATTTATCTACTATTTCCACTACTTTTATGATCCTAAGACTTAAACCCATTTCAAGCACCAAAATAAATCATCCACATGAGTAAAGCTATGTTTTCACAAGATATATTAAGAATTTCTAAAAAAAACGGATGCTATTTTTTTAACTTCGGACCCAATTATCTCTGTACACAGTGCTCCAGGCCAAAAGGGCCTCATCACAGTGAGAGTTAAGATTGTCCTGAACATTTTAATAAACATAATGTGGGTATCATGTCACATGCAAGTATCTTTAAGGGTGAATTTAAGAATTTACGCAAAAATCAAGAAAATGCTCAGAGGATTAAACATCTGCCAACTAGAGTGAGTGAGCTGAAAGCTAAAACTTTGCTAAAGGTCATTCTTACTGGCCTGGAAAAGCAGAGACTGTAAAATGACCTGGTTGTGGTGCAATGGAGAGAGATCAGGGGGTCGATGAGTAAATGAAGAGAAACATAGCAGGCAAGATGACCTGTAAAGTGTCTGAAAGTGCAGCCTAGCCATGGGGAGAGATGGTTTTTAAAGCGATAATTTATAAAACAGACTAAAATATACAAAAATCTCACCTTTAGATGTAGCAAATCAGCCTACGTCCTCAGTTTAGCACTGAGGCTAATGTAGCTAACAAGCAATGGAAGCTTATTAGCAACAATTAGCATGGTGCTAACTGTATGTCTAAATCAGCACATTTGTCTCAGAGCAGGTTGAGTGGTTAAGTAGTCTCTAATAGACTTAATAACACTATAAATAAAATAGTGTTATGTATAAACATGAACAAAATTCTGGCCACAAGATGCTACCACTGTTTACAGCTATGCAAAATACTTTTAAACTTTTGTGCCACATGAAAGAAGTGAAGCAAACATGACTTGGCTGATCAGCTACATTTGTGATAAGATTTGTGATAAAATGGATCAGTTAGATTTTTCACCAAATTATCACTTTAAACATGTGCTGACGATAGAGAGTGAGGTAAAAGCTAAAACTTTTTTTGCTGAAGGTCATTCTTACTGGCCTGGAAAAGCAGGGACTTTACAATGACCTGGTTGCAATGCACTCGAGGGAGATCAGGAGGTAGATTAGTAAATAAAGTAACGCTGAGAAGCATCTGAAAGCACTGCTGTGCCTGTGGGGGGTTAAAGGAGTGCACTGCTTCGGGTCAGCGTTATAAGACTGATAAGAGTGCATTGTGTGCAGGTTAGACAAAGCGCTGTGTTATTGGATCCTCCGTTCTAATGTTCGAGCCCACAGAGAACGCAGCGATGCAGAAATAGTCTCTAATGCTCCTGAAGAAACGCAGCGTGGCCTAGATTCAGCACCGCGCGCCACTTCCACCACCAATCTCTGTTTGTACAAATGTCTCCCTGCATTTGCACTGTGTGCATTTCACTGAGCGCCCTCATTAATCACACCGCTCGTGCTCCACCACGCCGCACAACACCGCGCTCAACATAGCTTGTGGATAGATATTCAGTGTTAGGCTGGTTTTAAAAGGGAACCACACCAAGTTTTAACAAATTTCTGTGCTATGAAATGGTTGAGATGTGAACAAAGTGAACACAGTGCTTATTTTTTTCCAAAATTATACTGTAAGTCCAGCTGCTTTGATTTACTAACTAGGCATATCAGCTGATTCTGCACCATAACAATATGTCATAACAAACAGTTATGAATCACCAGCACTTGTTAACTATCGCTAAAAATCTAATTTCCCACAGGTGTCTAGTTTGCTTCTTTGCTTCTTAAGCACTGATAAAACACCTTTTTTTAAGTGGTTTTAAGATGTAAACAAAGTCATTCAGAGTGGTTTCTCCTTTCTAGTGAAACTTACCAAGTCAGAATTGTTCACAGTGGTGCTGATAGGAACTAGACGTCCACCTCTAAAAGCTCCCTCACAGAAAGTTATTACGTGAAATGGTTGTGAATACACTGCCTGATGTCTGAGACATTGCTTTAACAGATTTGAGGAGATTTTGGCCTTAAACGCCATCCAGTGGAAGGATACATAATATGCAAGGTGCTGTGAGGCAAAATAGCCCCCAAAGAAAATTTATTACTTCAGATTTTCCACTATTTTCCCATCATCAACATTCCATATAAAACTCAGAAGACACATGTAGGTTCACTGGTGGTTTTGGATAGTAAATAAAATGTCTATATTTGTGTTGTAGTCATGTCGACCCCTGGTTCCTATCACCACCACTGTAAAGAAATCTGAACCATTTAACACCAAACCACTCAGAGTCGAAATGTAAGTTGATATTATTTTTAACTAATAAAAATAATGATGCTCACTTTAACAAATAGGCAATATATACTTAACATTAAACAGCTTTACTGACACACTGTAAAAAATTCTTGTCAGATCTACCTAAAAAAATTGCTTCCTGTTGTAACAAGCAAATTTACTAGTTTTATTCAGCCTAAATAAATACTTTGAATGAACGATTCTTTCAATCAATGTAGTTTTTTAGTTGAATAAAACTAGTTCAGTTGCTTGTTATCACATGAAGTCATTTTAGGTAGATCTGACCAGCCATTTTTTACAGTGCATATTTAAACACAAATGGACTAAATTTATCACACCTGGTCAGCTAATTAATGTGTTTTGCTTGCTCAAAGTTTTACCTCAGCACCCTCAGATGGTCTAAATGGCTGCAATAGTGAAGTGTAACAGCTCTGTGGTGGTTCACCGTTACTAATTATAGCTGATTGATGCTCATGCCTCCAAATGAAATGAAGGTAAATATAAACATGATTCATGTGCTGACATTATTGGAAGAAATCACGAGTACAAACAGCACCAAAATATCCATGATGCTGAGGTGACAGCAGTAAATATGTTTTTCTATCACACTTCTTAGCGTTAGAGGGATAAAACATCTTGGATGCCCAATTTCTGAATTATTTCTGAATGAAACGCTTATCAGGAGAAAAGAGGAGCGTAACATGATCATTATAAGAAGTTCTGGAGGTAAATTATCTCTTTCTGCACTGACAGATGGTGAAAGATTTCTGAGAGGTTTAAAGATAAAAAAAATGACGAGCCGTGATCTGTTATTTCTGTAATACTCACTAACAGTGAGTAGCAAAACAGACACATCTTTATTACAGGAAACCTGTTAAACACAACATGCAGATGTGTAGCCTGCTGTGAACTATAAACTCGTGGTTAAAACTATATCACTGACAGATCTTCTACACTCTTAGAAATGGTTCTTCAAGGGTTCTTTAGTAAAGAAAATAGTTCTATAGAGAACCATGAACACTTTAAAGAACGCTTAGCATGATTAAATGGTTCTTTGAATCATGAAAGGGTTCTTCGGTTTGATGGAGAATGTGTTGTAGATGGTTCTACATAGAACCATTTTGAAAAAGCACCAAAGCAGGACTTTTGATAAACATCTGAAAATGCAGTTCATTAATTCAGCGCTTCATTAAAATTCTAGGTCCCTTTGGTCTTTATCTGTTTAATCTGATCCGTGTTATTGTCTCATATGATTTTAAATTAGTACTCATAGTTTATTCTGTTAGTTTTAAGCTTTATCTCACTGTAAAACACTCTGAGATTGAATAGTAAATGAGTGAACCATTCTAAACATGGCTTCAGCTTTCTTCATTATGATGTTATGTCCTCCCAAAAGACATGCGGCAGTGCAAGTATGTCTGAGTCATCTCTTAACTGGAACCTGTGCAAATATAGAACACACTCACAAACAGACTCGGACTGTAAACAAAGCCAGACGCACCATCACCGCAACCAACACACAGCAGGACGTCACCCTGATAAGTGTGCCACTCATTACTGTTACATAACATTTTTTAATGCTCTCAAAGCTAATGGACAATATCTTTAAAGAGTAACTCCACCAAATTATCTAAATTCCGGCACAATTAAATCATTAAGATGTAAACAGAGTTATTCAGAGTGGTTTGGTGTGAAATACTCCATTCTAGAGAAACAGAGGAACCAGATGTCCACCTCTAAAAGCTCCCTCACAGAAAATTATTACATGAAATGGTTATAAATACATTGCCTGAGATGACTGAGACATTGTTTTATGGTAGTTTTGAGAAGATTTTGGCCTTAAAATCCATTCATGGTGGAATGATACATAATATGAAAGGTGCTTTGAGGCAAAATAGTCCCCAAAGAAAACTTCACTCTTAAAAAAGATGGTTCTTCAAAGGTTCTTTGGTAATGAAAATGGTTCTCTATGAACACTTAAAGGACCATTTGCATGCTTAAAGGGTTCTTTGCATGGTGAAATCATTCTTCAGATTGATAGAGAATGTGGTGTAGATGGTTCTATGTAGAACTTCTTTTGTTACAAGCTTGACATGGTAACAAGAGAAGAACCCTTTTTGGTGTTTTATAGAACCTTTTTCAAAAAGGTTCTTAACAGAAACACACACAGCACAATCTCTATCAGTCTGAAGAACTGTTTCACAATGCACAGAACGCTTTATTTATATAAAGGGTTCTTTACTAAAGAACCCTAGAATAACCAATTTTAAGAGCATACAATCAAACCATTTCAATCCAAACCACTCTGAATTACTCTGTTTACATCTCACACACTGAATTATAGAGAAATTTTGAAATATTGCTGGACCTCCCCTTTAAACTCTTCATCCTAGTCTGCTTTTTTGCCAGGTGCAGTGACAGTACCAGCCACAAGGTGGGGCCACTGACTCAGTCATGACAAAGCGAGCTTTCACAACAATGTCAGCTGAAGGTGAGAGAGGTGGAGCTGCACAGGAAAACAAAAGCAGCCACAGGTTTATTTACATTCAGCTCATGCATATGCATATAAAAATTATGGATTTAAATAATTATTTAGATTTAAATCAGGTCTGTTTAGTTAAAAGGCTTAACCAGGTCCGGGGTCACACACTCAGACACAAGCCTACAAATAAAACCCCTACCTGCAGAGTGTCTGTGGGGGAAAAGGTGAAATCAATAGCTGATACTATTGATTAAAAAATTAACTTTCTGCTAATTTTATTTATCCTGCAGCAGCAGCAACATCTATCTATCTATCTATCTATCTATATATATATATATTGATCAAGAGCATTGATTAGAGGTCAGTAGTGTCAGTTATTGATCAGTAGTATCGGTTATTAATCAACAGCATAACTTATTAATCATCAGTTCTTGGTCAATACAATCAGTTATTGATTAGGAGTATCAGTCATTCGTTTATCAATAATGTCAGTTACTGATCAGTAGTTTTGGTTGTTGATCAGCAGCATCGGTTACTGATCAACAGTTTCAGTTATTGGTCAATTTTGTCACCTTTTTCTGACTTGGTGTATTTTATTCTGGGCTTTGATGCTGCTGCTGAACTTTCTCCCATCACAGGCCACATGTGCTGAATTATAAATGCTGCACAGAATTGTGGGTCAAAGCAAGAATCTGTACCCACCTCTGGTGTGGATGGAGCTGCCCCCATCTTCCTCATCATCATCCTCATCACAATCTTCATCATCATCATCATCATCATCAAAGGCATCATCAGCTCCACCCTGGGACTCCAATGCCATCTGGAGGGTTGCTGTGGAAACTGCGTGAAGATGCCATGGCAACAATAGCAGGTTGCTGAGGAAACTAGTGTCGCTATGGTGACTGCATCACTCCAGGCACGACCCCCCTCCTTCCCCTCAGTCTGAGTCTGAATGTCCACACTGAGTCTGGTGTGTGTTGAGGGGATTTGGGGGGGTGCCCTTCGCACGCACACACACACACACACACACTCACACACACACACACGAACAAAGACGCAATACTGACAGCAACACAAACAACAATGCAAACACACCAAAAAATAAACTTGTTGCCCCGCCCCCTTTTAATCACTAATCAGTGTCTCCATCCTGAAGCTTATCAGTGATGACAATGATGGTGCGCTAATTGCTGAGTAACGTCCTGCAAAAGTTCTACTCGCACACGTGGACACACGTGCTGTTGCTACGGTGACGGCGTGTGCCCACGTGTGCACGTATGTACGTGTCCTACACGTCCGTGAAGATTTTGTTGACGCAGTTGTGCTTGGCCTGCAGGGCCTCCTCCATCGCCACATACTCTGATCGGCTAATTGAAGAAGAACTTCGCGCTCCTCTTAGCTCGGGCGAAGCTGGCATGGGCTGGCAGCTAGCAATGTGAAGGTACTGAGCCTGCTCTTCGCCTTCTGTCTCCCGGTGGTAGAAGTAGTTGAAGTTGGACACTATAACGGGGACGGGAAGTGCTATGGTCAACACTCCAGCAATGGCGCACAAGGAACCTACGATTTTGCCTCCGATGGTAACTGGGTGCATGTCTCCGTATCCCACGGTTGTCATGGTGACCACTGCCCACCAGAAGGCATCTGGGATGCTGTTGAATCCCGAATCAGGGTCATCAGCCTCGGCGAAATACACGGCACTGGAGAACAGGATGACGCCGATGAAGAGGAAGAAGATCAGCAGCCCGAGTTCCCTCATGCTAGCCTTGAGCGTCTGGCCCAGAATCTGCAGGCCTTTGGAGTGGCGCGAGAGCTTGAAGATCCTGAAGACGCGCACCAGCCTGATGACCCGCAGAATGGCGAGGGACATGGCTTGCTGCCCGCCGCCGTTTCCCTGTTGCCTTTCTGCCAGCTCGGTTCCCAGCGTGATGAAATATGGGATGATGGCTACAATATCGATGATGTTCATGATGTTCTTGGAGAAGGTGGCTTTGCTCGGGCATGCAAAAAATCGCACGAGAAGCTCAAAGGAGAACCATACAATGCAGAGCGTCTCTACTACGAAAAAGGGGTCAGAGAAGGGTGCGGTCACCAAGGAGAGCGAAAGCGTGCCTGTGGCATTAGCATGGACATTGTCAGGGTAGTGATGGAGCAAATGCAAAGGAGTCGTGCCAATCCTTGCATCCCTGGCATCGCTGTCATCGTCGTCCCGGAACTCAGGCAAAGTCTCAAGGCAGAAGATCACAATGGACACTAGGATGACCAAAACGGAGACGATGGCTATGCCGCGAGCTGGACCCGAGCTTTCTGGGTACTCAAAAAGGAGCCAGACTTGGCGCTGGAAGTCTCCAGCCGGCAGCGCCCGCTCTTCTTCCTTAATGAAGCCCTCGTCCTCGCGGAACTTTTCCATGGCTTCCTCGCCGAGCTCATAGAACCTGATCTCCTCGGTAAATACATCAATGGGCACGTTGACTGGTCGCCTCACGCGCCCACCGGACTGGTAGTAGTACAGAATGGCATCAAAGCTGGGCCGGTTTCGGTCAAAAAAGTACTCATTCCGGAGCGGGTCGAAGTAAGCCGTACGTTTCCTTGGGTCTCCCAGCAGTGTCTCCGGAAATTGTGCCAAGGTTTTGAGCTGGGTCTCGAAGCGCAGGCCTGAGATGTTGATGACCACCCTCTCGCAGCACTCGTGCTCGGGCTCATAGCGCTCCGCCGTGTTGCTGTTCGGCTCCTCCGGTGCCCCGTCGCAAGACACCACGGTCATCGTGGCCTCTGGCGGGTGCGTGAGTCCCGGAGCGTGTCCGAGGCTCAGCAGGTGGTTGTGCGTGTTGACGTTGATGCTGTTGGTGATGTTGTTGATGGTGTTGTTGGAGTGCAGGAGGTGCAGGTGTTCATCCATAAAGCCACGCACCTCCTGCTCCAGCTTCTCTGTGAGCTACTGACACGTACAACCCGTACGCTCTCTCTCTCTCTCTTTCCCTCCCTCCCTCTTTCTCCCTCTTTCATATTATCTCTCTCATTCTCTCTGCTGCTCAGCTCTTTCCCTGCCCTTTCACTCTAACAGGCTGCCCTGCTTTGCTTTCTCTCTCACTTTCCCTCTCCCTTTCTTTCATATTATCTCTCTATCACTCCGTCCTGCTCTTTATCGCGCTCCTTTCACTCTTACCCCCTCTCTTGGTTTCTTTCTCTCTGTCTGAGTCTGTCTTGTGCGCGTGTGCTGCTTCCCGTCCTTTCTGCCGTGCATGCGTCTGTCCCGCCCATGTGGGTGGTGTTACAGTCCACTTGCCAATCGTTCTAGCTCAGAGCGCATTCTAGAATTTCAGAAGTATTCTTGTAGTACAACAAGACAGAACTGAATGTGAACAGTTTCATTCCAGAATTGTTGTATATTCATTTATAGAAATAAGAGGTTTAAAAGATAAACAACTGACGTTTAACTCACTGTCAAAAATGCAGTTTTATTTCTCTAATAAAGGTGGCACTAATCATAATAAAGTGATGTAATGATAATGAAGTGATAATATCAGTTTGAGAATTTCTTAGTATTTGGTGGTGTGCCGCCCTTTTGCTTTAATTAGCTTTTTTGTGCCACACGTGCTCCTCCACATGCATACATACACGCATGTGTGTTGCCCAATCAGAACACAGAGAGCTGTAAACAAATGAAGCGCACACTCTGTAAACAAGGACAAATGTTTATTACAAACCTTCAGAATGAATGAAAATCACCTGCACAATCAAACACTTGTTACAGTCACCAGCTGTAAAGATCCAGTATGAGTGGAGAGAGAGAGAGAGAGAGAGAGAGAGAGAGAGAGGAGGGGCAGGGGATGTAGGAAGGGAGACAGAGAGAGGGAAAAGAGAGGGAGAGAGATATAGGGAGAGAGAGGCAGCGGGGAGACAAGGATGGGGGAAGAAAGAGAGAGAGAAGAGAAAACATGACAGGAGGGGGAAGAAAGAGAGAGAAAGGGAAGAGGGGGGACAGAAAGTGAGCAGGGAAAGAGACAGAGGGGAGCAATAGAGAGAGAAAAAAGAGAGAGAAGCAGAAAAAAGCACCTGAACTGGATCAGTCCACCTGCCCCTTTCCTACATCTACACCTGCCTGCCCGTAATGCCCCTCCCCTTGTTCCTGTCTAATGGATCTGTATTTTTAATAACCTTTTGAATTCTAAAACACACACACACATACACACATACACACAAACACACACACACACATATTATCTAAGCCACTAATCCTTCTAGGTTGCAGGGGTGCTGGAGCCTATCCCAGAGCTCATTGGGTGGAAGGCAGGAAACACCATGGACAGGTCACCAGTCCATCACAGGGCAGACAGACAGACGCACATACTCACACCCAGGGGCAATTTAGCATCTTCATCTGGCCTGACTGTATGTCTTTGGCCTGTGTGAGGAAACTAGAGCGCCCAGAGGAAACCCACACAGACACAGGGAGAACATCCAAACTCCATACAGAAAGGACCCTGGTTACCCGGCTGGGGAATCGAACCCAGACCCTTTTTGCTGTGAGGCGACAGCGTTAAATCTAAAACAGAAAGATCAACTATTATGTCCTAACTCTACTTCCTAAACCCTTGTACAACAAACTCCACTCCCTAACCCCCATATACCCTAACTCCACTCCCTAACCCCCTATATACCCTAACTTTACTCCCTAAACCCTAATACCCTACCTCTACTCCCTAAACCCTTATACGCCAAATCTGCTCCCTAAACCCTTACACTCTAACTCTACTCCTTAAACCCTAATACCTTAACTCCACTTCCTAAACCCTTGTACCCCAGCTCTGCTCCCTAAACCCACCCCAACTCTGCTTCCTAAACTCTTATACCCCAGCTCTACTCCCTAAACCCTATTAACCTAACTCTACTCCCTAAACTCTTATATCCTAACTCTACTAAACCCTAAGGAGCAATAAACTTTGCTCCTTAAACCCTTATACCTTAACTCTAGTCTCTAATCTCTTTACACTAAACTCTACTTCCTAATCCCTTATGCACTATACTTACCCCCTATACCCTAACTCTATTTCTTTAACCCTGACACCCTAACTCTACTCCCTAAACCCTAATACCCTAACTCTATTCCCTAAACCCTAATACCCTAACTCTACTCCCTAAACCCTAATACCCTAACGCTACTCCTTAAACTCTTTATATCCTGACTCTTCTCACTAAGCAATATACCTTAACTCCACTCCCTAAACCTTTATACCCTAATTCTACTCCCTAAACCTTTAAGCCCTAACTCTACTCGCTAACCCCTTATACCCTAACTACCCTATCTACTTCCTATATGCTTATACCACAATTCTACTCCCTAACCCTTACACCCTAACTACACTGCCTAAACCCTTATACAGTAAATTCCGCTCCTTAAACCCTTATACCCTAACTCTACTCCCTAAAACCTTATACACTAATTCTACTCCCTAAACCCTTATACCCTAATTCTACTCGCTAACCCCTTATACCCTAACTCGACTTCCTATACGCTTATACCCTAATTCTACTCCTTAAATCCATATACCCTAACTGTACTCCCTAATCCCTTAGACCCTACTCCCTAAATCCTTATACCTTAATTTTTCTACCTAAACTCTTATACCCTAAGTCTTCTTCATATACACTAATTCTACTCCCTAAACCCTAACGCTTAATACCCTAACTCCACTACCTGAAGCCTTATACCCTAGCTGTACTCACTTATTTACTCTACTTCCTAAACCTTTATACCCTAACTCTACTCCCTAAATCTTTACACCCTAACTCTACTCCCTAACCCCTAAACACTGACATGTTTCCAGTTCAGAACTTTTATCGGCCTTGAGTCTGGTTTTGCGTGGCTATTTCACATAAATGTAAAAGGCTTTTATTTTCTTAAATAATCTTAAAAAAATGAATTGAATGCAATGTAACCTGTTTATATAATAAACATGTTTCCAGCAGCACTTTTCACAGTGGAGCTGGTCATCCTCTTTTTTAAAGGCCGCGTCTTGGACTGACCAAGGACATCACAGCATTCTTTACTGGTTGTTCATCACGGCGTTCTAAAGCAGAGCAGAAAAGCAGAAAGTCCTTGATGTTGTACTGTTGATTCCTGCGCTCTGTTCAGACTGATGGAGGAGTCCACGCTCGAAGAGAGCAGCACAAACACGTCTGCAGTTTAAATGCTCACTCATATTTTCTCCTTCAGTTCAGGGGTAAAATTTCTGCTATTCCACTCTTACACAACACATAGTCTTATACTCACGTTAAAGTCTGTACTCAGAAAAAATAACAACAAAATAACTTTCTGTGATTAATATTATTATTATTATTATTATTATTATTATTATTATTATTATTATTATGTTAACACTTTCAATGAATGTCACCTTTGTAAGCATCTATAAACACATTTATAACATGTTATAATGTATTCATAAGGCATCATAAACATGGTTATAAATATTTATAAAAAAGAATTACACTGAATTACACTTTATAGCCATGTTGTTAATATAATGCATTATAAATAGTGTTAATAACATGTTATAATGTCAGTGCCAAAGAAGTCAGTTCCAGCTTGGAGAGTGTAAAGTAAAGACAAATACCAAGCTAACGGTGGTGTACATTACCTTTCCCACATTGTGTAAAACACTGATGGCAGCACTAGGTTAAAACTCTGACATTTGAAGCCTGTAATGTGCTTTATTGTGTATGTTTTAGTGTTTCAGTAAATCCTTCAGTAAATACTTCAACTTGAAGCCTCACTCTTAACACTGGAGGAGGCTTTAGTACAGTATGCTTCACTTTACTTAGAGCAGACAAATACGACTTATGAGCTCTTATAATTTGTTATGATCAGTACTTATAATGTATTATGTTAACAATTCATAATGCATAATAAACATGGCTATAACGTATAATGCATTTTTATAAATATTTATAAATATGTTTAAATGTCTTATTAATGCATTATAACATGTTATGAATGTGTTTATAGATGCTTACAAAGGTAACATTCATAGAAAGTGTTACCATTATTATTATTATTATTATTATTATTATTATTATTGGCAGCTGCTCTCCTGCTGATGTGATTAGTGTGAGGAAGCTGGTGGTTTTGTTGTGGATCAGCGGGCGTGTGTAATTTTAAAGGGAGAAGAGCTCAGACACAACAGAAACACACAGAGTTGATTAAAAGCCCTTCAGAGCAATTTCATTACTGTTTAATTAATGTGGAGCAGGAAGAGCTTCTGTTCAGTTACTGTTATATGATCATATCCGCAGGTTCTGCACACGAGTAAATACATGTTTTATACTTACAGAAAAGGAAAGATAACGATAAAGGAGATAAAGGTAGAACTTAGACCCCAAAAACTCAAGACTCGACTTGAAGAGATTCGAGACATGACTTAGACTCACACCTCAGAGACTCTACTTAGACTCACACCTCAGAGACTCGACTCAGACTCACCCTTTAGAGACTTGATGCGCACTCGCACCTCAGAGACCCGAGACTCGACTAACACTCACACCTCAGAAACTCGACTCACACCTCAGAGACTCGACTCTGACTCACCCTTTAGAGACTTGACTCACACTCGCGCCTCAGAGACCCGAGACTCGACTCACACTCACACCTCAAAGACTCTACTCACACTCACACCGCAGAGACTCGACTCACACTCACACCTCAGAGACATGACTCAGAAACACCTCAGAGCCTCAAGACTCGACTCAGCCTCACACCTCAGAGACTTGAGACTCAACTTGCACTTCAGAGGCGAATCAGACTCACACCTCAGTGACCCCACTCAGACTCACACCTTAAGACTTGACTTACTTCGGAGGCTTGACCCAAACACATACCTCAGAGACTCAACTCAGAAACAGCTCAGAGACATGAGACTCGACCTCAGACTCACACCTCAGAGACTCAAAATCCAACTCAGACTTGCACCTCAGAGACTAGAGATGCCACTCAGACTCACACCTCAGAGACTCGATTTGGACTCAGACTTAAAGCACACAGACTCAAACCACAGAGACTCAAAACTTGTCTTGTACTTTCACCTCAGAAATTCGTGATTCAACTCAGACTCTGATCTCAGAGACTCAACAGTGTAGTATGATGTGGTGTAATTTTGTATGAAACTCACAGTGCATAGTAACTTTTGCA